ATTGAGATGGTTTGGTTATATTCAACGGAGACCAACAGATGCAGTAGTAAGGAGATGCAATACTGTAACGGTAGATGGAAGTGTTAGGGGACGGGATAGACCTAGATTAACGTTGGTTAGCGTTGTAAATAGAGATATGGATCTACTTAATTTGATTTACGAAATGGCCTTTGATAAGGCCGCGTGGAAAAGAAAGATTCATGTAGGCAACCCCATTTGATGGGACTTAAGGCTTGGTTTGGTTTGGTTTTGGCAAAAGGAAACATGCAGGACGATTTTCAAGTTGCAGTGAAGGAGGTTTAAAGATCAACCATGAGAATAGTCAAATTGTTTGACAAGGGAACTTCATTCGGATTCCTAAATGGATTTTTAACTATAGTGCTATTTGGGACTTCCACCAGGTCCAAACCAACTGGAGATAAGATGAAGAAGTAAAAGACACAGGCCGGTTGTTTTTGACATATAGAGTAGGAATCCACAAATTTTTTCAAATTTTGGAATCATGTTCTTTCCTTGTATGTGTTGTCCAAACTCAACTTGATACCTTAGAACATCTCCAACGTTTACTCTTTTTTTTTTCTCATCAAATTTGAGTAAAAGGTTCATCTAATATCGAATGTTCCAATAGACGATTTGCATTTTTCATCAAAGCACTGGTCGACCGGAAGGATGACTGGGCAGATGTTTGGCCGGTCGACCAGTTTGTGTAAATTAACCAACACTTTTACGGCAATTTTGCAAGGAAGAGGTTGTTCGGGAGGATGTCCAATTCAACGATCACTTACAAATTTGATATGGAAGGATAAAGTTACATTGATTTGATGAAAAAAGTAACTCTTTCTTTATTTGATATCAATTTGATATTTAGATATTTATCATCAAATTTAAAATTTGATGAAGCGTTGGAGACACTCTTATAACAACTAGATTTCTTTCATATAAAGAAGAATTAGATTTAGTGGTTTTCTTGTTTATTGTTTAGAAAGTGAACAAGTATTCTATATTTCAATTAGGTGAGGTGAGTTTAGGCCATGCTATGTAAATCTGTTTACAATGTTTTTACACCAATCAATAAAGAAAAAAAAGAAAGAAAGACATAAAACGCTGTAGACACCCCATTTTTGACCGTCCTCAAGACTTGGGCGTCACCGTTTGAACACTCGATGATTACGCTTGTTTGTGTTCGTCTTGAGTTCTCGGAGGTTTCGGCTACGCGCCTTACCTCATGACTTCTCGACTTGTATGTTTTGTGTTTGGTTTTGCATCAAACACTTGTTGCTTTGCTTCTGAGGGTGGGAAATAGCTTGTAGGCCATCCCCACACCTCACCGGCCATGGCTTGCGGCCACTGGCCCTGTTTTCTTGCTACTGGCCAAAAGTGTTGGCCGGTCGGCATTGTGTTTGGTCGGCCAGCCATTGATTTTGGTCAATCAGCCACTTTTTCTGGCCGAGGCCTTTTCTTGAGGGGGTTTGAACCTTTTGAACTCTTGGTTTTAGCTTCTTAAGGAAGCTTGACCTTTTGAACCCTTTTTTAGCTTCTTGAAGAAGTTTGAACCTTTTGTCATTACCCCTCTCTTGGCCCCTATTCTTGCATGCCATTTTTGCCCTACCTATGCTTGCTGTTTGGCCATGTTTATAACTGTGAAAGTGCCTTTTTTGGGACTGCCTAGCTTCTTTCTTCACATTGCATGTCCATATTGTGCATGTTTGGCATAGCTATAGGCCATTCCGGGTGCCTAATGTTGCATTTCGGGACCATTTCATGCTTCGGGTGTACTTTCACCCCATTTCGGGACTGTTTTTCCCCACATTTCATCGCTGAAAATCCATTAGCATACTTGCATCACATTTCCACGCCATATTGCATTGCGTATGCCATTGTCTCGGTTTGCGTGCCCATGTGCACGCATTTTGAGGCACTTCTTTTTTATCCGTCGGCATCCTATGTGAGTGTGGCTGAGGCTCTCCCATGTTGGTATAAGCCCATATCATGTTTTCATGTTATTTGCATTGCGTATGCCATTGCCTCGGTTTGCGTGCCCGTGTGCACACATTTCGAGGCACTTCATTTTCATCCACCAGCCTCCTACGTGAGTATGGCTGAGGCTCTCTCATGTTAGTATAAGTCCATTTTGCATTTCATATGCCATTTTAGCCGTATTGCATTGCGTATGCCATTGCCTCAGTTTGCGTGCCCGTGTGCACGCATTTCGAGGCACTTCATTTTCATTCATCGGCCTCTTATGTGAGTGTGGCTGAGGCTCTCTCATGTTAGTGTAAGCCCGTATCATATTTCCATGTCATTTACATCGCATTCTGTCATTGTCTCGGTTTGCGTGCCCGTGTGCACGCATCTCGAGGCATCTCATTTTTACAGCATAGTGCATAGTAGGTTGTATCTTAGATCGCATTCATGCATTTTCTCAGTTTGCGTGCCCGTGTGCACGCATTTCGTGGCATGTCATTCCATAGCATTGTGTATGTTAGGATTGTATCTTAGTTGCATTTCGCGCATGTCATGCATATTGCATCGTGTTCGGAATAAGAGTTAGCCCGGGCACGAGAAACGAGGTGCATTTCGTACTCCGAGTGACGGAATGTGTCTCAATTCCCCAGTCACCGACACTCCGGATCATCCGTGATGGAGTTAGGTCTTGTCGTGTTTTCATGTACATTCATTCTATATTGAGTTGTGCAATTCGACTCCTCGGCCATCATGCCTCGGTAAGCGTGATTGGTGGCACGAGAATCGAGGCATGCAGATATCTGTGAAAATACATTGATATGCCCATTTCCTGCTCTCTGTTGCAGCAAAATGAAGAATCAGCAACTTTTCGGAGTCTGGCACGCTTTCCAAGATTAACTGCTAAATAGAGGCTAATTGGGGCATCCTAGTGGATTTCCGCGCAAGGCAGCCCAGGCATACATCATTCATCAGAAGCAAGGCGGTCCCTGGCTTGCACGCCAGTTTTGCAGCTTTCTTAATTAATTTGTTAATTAATTAGGATTTTTGTACATTATTCGGACTGTAATATTTGGACTGTAATATTCTTTTATTCGGGACTGTATATTTATTTGGACCCTCTGCGCGAGGGCATAATTGTAATAAGTGTGCGTGAATGTGATGTATGTCTTACAACCCCACGTCTTTCTTTCCTTTTATTTACCAGCTTACGATGGTTAGATTAGGGCATGTTTCAATTAGCATACAGTATGATAGCATGTTTGCATCATTCATCTGTTTTGCATGCACCGGGCTCGGCGCACCATACTAACTGCATCGTACTTTCAATTCCAAATTGAATACATGTTAGTTGTAGCATTTCATATGCCATGTTTAGAATAGCCGAGCCTGCTATAGTTGCATTTTTGCATGTGTTGCATTAGGCATTTTTGTATACTTAGGATCATGCATGATTTCTAATGTAGTTTCTATTTTGGCTTTGAGTACTCGGTAAGTTCTATGCTTTTGCATCCTTGCATGCGTGTGAGTGACTGCCATGAATAGCATGCTTACCATGAGGCTATTTGCTTATGTGATATAACTGCCTGAATGCCTGTGGGTGAAGGTTGGGTTGTTTAAATTGGAACATTTAAACAAATCCTTGACTGTAAGTTTCAAGCCCACTAGATAGTGGCAAAACCATCTCTTCTAAGCCCACCTGCGGGTGGCAAAATCTGCATTCTAAGCCTACTTGCGAGTAGCAAACCATCTTTCAAAAAATAAACATGAAATGTTTTGTTCCAATTCGGGCGACCCAGTCTATACTTATATGCTGTGCGCATCACATAGTAAACCTAGGCTAATAACCGGAATAAGAACATACAATGTTTTCAAAAATAGATATCATGGTTAGTAGAGGCCGATCTTTGATCGGGCGAGCGGGGGTGCTCACGAAGTGACCTTCCCCAATCGTACCCAAGTTCCCGAGCCGAGGCAACTTTGGTGATGACGGACACGTGGCCTTTGGCACCGAGTCAGGGTTTCCTAAATTTCCCATAAAAAAACATTTAGGTGGCGACTCTGTATCTGGCAAAGCAGTCCATGTTTGGCACTTCTTTCAAAATCTGTTTTCTCAAAACGATTTGCCGGATTTGGACTCTTTGGTTCAGACTTAGAACCGTGACAAATTTTGAGAGTCCTGAGCTGTAGTGACCCCAATATGAACGGAACGGGAGCTCGTTCCTCCCGGGGCGTTCGGGGACGTCTACACTAAGGAAAACCAAATTTATTTGAAGGAAAATCAAGACAAAGATGATTCAGCTCTGACCAAAGGGGTCCTGAAGCCAAATATGTAAATCGGCCATACAAGGAGCCGAGTAGGAATTGGCATACGAGAGAAAAGCTGGATAAGCAATCATGCATTGGATTAAGAGTGGGCCCGACCCCTGAGACCAGATACTAGTATAAATAAGAGAAACATCAATCGAAGAAAGTATGTGAGAATAGATTAAATAACTTGAGATAGAAGCAAACTAGAGAGCATATACTAACTTGTCCGTCGGAGTGCTAATTCCGGAACCCCCAACCAGAGTGTTCATCATTTTTCAGGTGGCAATCAGAGGATCAAGAACGTTCTACAGGATCTTAGAGTATTTCCAAACCACTTCCCCACAGTTACAAATCTGTTACAGAGAGAGAGAGAGAGAGAGAGAGCAATAAACAAAACATTTTGAATAGATCTGTTACAGATCTGGATCAGAGATCAAACCTTAGAGGGAGAAGAGAGAGAGAGAGAGAAAGAGAAAGATACTCTAAATTGAGTTTGCTTCATGTCTTTGGAAAGATCGGAGACTTTCTTGCAAAGATCGGGGATCTTGGGAAGAGCAGAGACGAGTAAAGACAACCATCCTCCAATTGCTACAGTGCCCTCCTAGAGAGAAAAGCACTAAGACGACGACCTTTGTTAGATCTGTGGAGGTCCCCTTGAGCAAGGTTTGGACTGACGGACGGAGGTTTTTTAGCGAGGAGGAGGACTGAAGCAACTGGAAGAGACACAGATGACGGAGGTAGAGAGGAGGGAGAAGAGAAAGGAAGAAAAAGAGGTCGTGGCGATGGCAGATACGGCGGCGACGGTAGTAGAGCAGCGGAGGGTGAGAAGTGGTGGTGAGAAAGGGAGAGGAGCTGCGGAGGCAGACAGTGAGAGGAAGAGAAAGACGCTATAAAGAGAGAGTATGATTTGATTAGGGTGTGCTTCGGAAAATAAAGTAATGATAGAGATCTCACAAAACACAACCTCCACAACTCATAAAATGATGTAAATTATTTATGTCACTGTTAAAAACAATTCCCAAAAAAAATTTAAACACATCAACGGTCAATACATCAGTGAGGTTCGTGGGGGTCCTTATTTGTGGGGGTCCCAAACATTTTCCTGAAAAATAATATCTATGTATATACATGGGTAGTTTACTCATTTTATAAAGGTTGTCTTTATGGACAAAGGGAGATAATTTCCACAAATTTAGTTAACCTAATTCACACACTTAATGAAATATTATTTTAAAATCAATTATATCCTAAACTAAAATGATCATAATAAGCATCCGTTAACACCCATCAAAATATTTTATGTACATATCTTATTTCTCAAATTGCAAAGCTTGCCAAGCCAACAATGGATATGCGGCTTCAATTCCTTTGACCCCAAAAAGCAATTCGTATGTTTTCAATCTCACAATCAAATCTCTCACCCATTGATTCGTCAATATGGCCTAAATCGAATAGCAATGTTGTGTTCAATTTTTGTATTCAAGTATTTGTTAGCTATTTTATCAATTGCTTCGGTAATTGTTTGATCAAGAAAAAAGTCATTTCCTATGACAGAGGAAGAAGACCCAACAATCCTCTATCTTCGCCACCATCGCGCTGCCAGTCTCATGAGTCCTTCACGAACCGGTTCGATTTGAAATACAAAATCGGGAATGATAGGTTTGGGTCAGTCTATCTAGGTTAGCTCTACGACAATCGAATCGTCACCGTGAAACACCTCCACAACCACCACTCTACGGTTGCTAGCTCTGGCAGAGCTAGAGCTTTCTCCGTCAAGTCCTTCTACAACGAAATCCTCATTTTCTCTTCGATCAATCACCCAAACATGTGGCGGATAAGGATGATCGACATGATGCGAGAGAGGTGGTGGCGGAGAGAGGTTGTGAATCGCTTCCATTACTAAAAATGGGAGAGGGACCTTAGACTAATTTTCTCAATTATTTTAGAAAATTATTTTTTTTTAAAAATTATGAAAACAATCACTTTTACAAACACTAAAAATTATTTTTCCCCAAAAATAAAAATGAAGAATATTTTCAAAAAAGCCAAAAAGCCCTTCCCAAACCAAGCTTTTTAGCCCAGGCTAAAATAACCAAAAAAGCCAAAAAGCCAACCTACTTCCCAAACCAAGCCTTAGACTCTTTAATTATAAAATTCATAGTGGTTTAAAATTCGGAATGTTTCAAATCTTGTACCATGAAAAGGTTCAAAACGACTAATTTGTTTATCTGAAACAAGTTTATGTGATTTACATATTCACCCATTTTTTATTTTTTATTTTTTTAATGTGATTTACACGAAATAAGTCTGTATAATGTAAAATGTAGAACAGTTAACCCTAATTGTATGATGTAAAAACTAGTTTATTCAAAATTTTACAACATGAGAAATTAGGCTGATATTTATACCATCACATACGCCAAGGTAAGAGTTTGTCATTTTTTAGATTTTTTCAAAGAATATTGATTTATTCCTTTAATTTTGCTCTCCTAGTTCCACTCTTAATGATGTGAAATTAGGGAGACTAAACATGAGAAAGAAAAGAGAATAAGACCCCTTTATATGCGAGCGGATCCTCTAGAGTTAATTCTCTAGAGTGATCTCCTAAAGTGGTTGATCGAACGGCGTAGAATCAAACTCACCAAAACGACATCGTTTTGGTGAGTATTTTGAAAAAAAAAAAAAAAATAATTCAAATTTTTTGAAGCTTTTTTTTTGCAGATCAACAATGGAATGCGAAAGTTTCGAGCTCCACCAATCTCTCACCGGGAACGGCCACACTCTCACAGATAACCCCCACAACTTGTGGATCGATCGAGTCATGGAAGGAAGCTTGTGGATGATGAGTTTCTTAATCAGTATGTGCAGTTTGGTGCGGATTCGCAGCACACGATGCGTGGTTTGGTCGATTCGGTCAAGTTAGTTGGTGCTAGTGGCTTCCAATGCTCTGAGGTTAGTAATTTATCAACAAGTTTTAGATGTGTTGTCATAAATTCCACTACTCTGAATTGCAAACTACTTCTTTTACATGTTGATGATGATTTATTTAGCTTTGATTTAATTTTGTCTTGCGATTTGGGACTTGAAACGCATTAGATTTCCAATTGTTGGTCCTACTTACAAATTACAATAATAATTTGATTTCCTTTTCAGGGCTAACTTAATCAGTTGAAATAAATTTCATTATTGCTGAAAGAATGAATCTTGTACTCCTGTTATAGAAATTTCTTCAATGTATGCAGAAAAATAGTTCAGAAACTATTTAAAATTCACTTCCTCCACAACCCTGCTCAAACAAAAGCAAAAAAAAAGGGGGCCACTATTACATAATTCTGAAGTGGGTAAGTATTGAATTAAGTGCGCATTATTTATGCTAAAGTGATGTTTACAATATGAAGTCAATGCTCTTATGAATTCCCTGAAAATAAAATACTCTTTTTCTTGATGTAGTTGTTCTGCCTATTGGAGTGCCTGTAAGGCTGTAACCAAGAATCAATTGGAATCCTAATAATTAGGATTTGATTGGAGTGAGATATAACTGGGTATTATTAGCTTTATTGGTATCTGAGTATCTCCTACCACCTTCAAATGAGATGAACATTTCAAATCATTGGCATGGCTATAAATTAGTCCCATAATGCACCAATTTCACCTGTGAGTTGATATCTTCAACTATAGCAAATCCGAACTCGTTGTAGTTATGATATGGGAGATCCTTGGGACAAGTGTAATGAGCGAAAACATTCAATCCATGACACCATTAGCGCTTTTCAAACTTGGTTACAAAAGGAAATTTTAAATTATTTGAATAGGACCTTTAAGGTTTTGGGTTTTCAACTTACACATGCCACCACTTTACTATGAAAATCTGCATGGAAACATTGTAGAAGTCTTCACTCTTTAATGTGTCATGTGTCCATTTTTTAACAAGTATTTTAATGATCTCTTTTGCTAGTTGTTTTGTGACTATATCGTTATGTGTGTGACATGAAAGTCTCTTGTTACAGTGGGTTGAGGAGCCGACGCTTCTTGTCATACGCTTTGAGTACGCAAATCTTTTCCACACAGTTACAGATTGGTACAGTGCATATGTGGCTTCTAGAGTTACTGGCTTGCCTAATCGACCTAATGTGGTTTTTGTAGACGGCCATTGTGTGGTATGTGTGCTCAAATTTATATTATTCATATCATCTTTGCGATTCTTTGTGCTATATAGTAGAAATCTGCTGATCAACATTTGATAAATAAATATTATATACCCCTGCTTTTGTTAAGTAACAGAGAAAATAGTGGAATTAGGGGAGCAAGTAATTTTATTAATCAGATATATTTTTGTGAAAAAAATTCTCTCTAGTGGCACTTTTATGGGCCATCAGTTTTGTTCGAGTATCTGAAAATATGGCTATTCGAACATGACCTAGACCTGTGGTAGTCAATTGAACAAAAACCTTAATCCCAATTAGTGGTTGGCTATGTGGATCATTTTCCATATGGCTTCATTCAAAGTCATATCTTTGGTTTAATCTAAGGTAATCATGACCAAGATCTGTGATTATTATAAGTAAAAGAAAAAGAAAAAAGAAAAGGGAAAGAAAAGACAGAAAGAAGACCTGGATCCCAAGACCCTAGATGCTGGACAATTTGTACTCATCAGACATTTAAGACTTATTTCAGTACTTTTCTTCTTTCTATTCTTCATTACTTTCCTGTTTGCTGTTCATATGATTGAATGAATTTAGCTAATGTGCCAGCTGCTTGATCTACCCTATTTTCACCCACTTATTTTAATTAATGTGCTTCACCTTTGAGTGACTTCTGTTAATGCAAAAAATTACTAATTCTATGTTTAGGACTTTGTGTTATTCTTTTTCAATGGAACTATGCTTCAATAACAAATTGCATGCTAATAAAGATGTGCTGATTAGATATCATAGCACTTGGCTTCTAGTTTTGTTTATTTTCTTCTGTCATCATTGCATGATTGACTTGTTACACGGTTCGCAAATCAACATCCTGATCTCTGTTCCCCTGTGAAAAAAATTCAGGCACCCTTGGAGGACACATGGAGGGCATTGTTTTCGAGCGTTAGATATGCCAAAAACTTCAGCAGTCCAGTCTGTTTTCGCCATGCTATCCTCTCACCTTTGGGATATGAAACTGCCCTGTTTAAGGGGCTTTCTGAAAATATAAATTGTCAAGGAGCTTCTGCACATGACTTGTGGCAAAACCCCGATATTCAGAAAACTGCACGATTTTCTGAGTTTGGAGAGATGATAAGAGCCGCATTTGGATTTCCAGTAAATAGACGACGAACCTCAAAGCCGGTCTCGGGTCACAACGTACTCTTCGTTAGACGTGAGGATTATTTAGCCCATCCACGACACGGTGGTAAAGTTGAATCAAGGCTTAGCAATGAACAAGAGGTTTTTGATGCTTTAAGGAGCTGGATGTCGAATAAGTTGGAATGCAAAATAAACCTAGTCAATGGATTGTTCGCACACATGCCCATGAAAGAGCAAGTACAAGCCATTCAAGATGCTTCAGTCATTATCGGTGCTCACGGGGCAGGTCTCACTCACATAGTTTCTGCAACTTCAAAAACGGTGATTCTAGAGATCATTAGTAGTGCGTACAGGCGTCCGCATTTTGCTTTGATTGCACGGTGGAAAGGGTTGGAGTATCATGCCATAAATCTGGCTGGATCATATGCTAAACCTTCAGAGGTTATCGATAAGCTCAGCAGCATATTGAGGAGTCTTGGATGCTGAAAGTGCATATTGTTTGTATTGAGTTCTATTTAACATCTTCTACACATTCGGAATCTGTGAGAGTGGAGCCGATGGATTCATGGTTTCAGTTTTTTGACTTCTTATGGGCTCTAAGTTTGTTTTGTTCAGCTGTCTTCACAAATGATTGGTGGATAGCATAATGGGCAATTTTGTCAATGGTTGCTGGAATATCAACAAGTGAGAGGTGGGTAAGATGAAGACAAGTGGATGTGTGTTTTCTTCTCAACATTCATTATTGTTTTTTTCAAAATTTTCAATACTAGTTAGGGAGGGAACACACAGGAGTTCTGATTTTGCTAGGAGACCAATTTTTTGGTAAGTTTACAGGAACAAATGTTCTATTGTACAATAGAGTACTTCTCAGTAGTTGGTTTTTGATGTTGGGGTGTTTTTATGAGGTACTAATGTACAGCCGGAGCAGAATGTGAATGTTAATGATGAGGACATAATTGCTCTCACCCATAAGTTCAGCAAAATGAAACCGCCATCCTTCTAGGGAGGCCCTGAACCGTTAAAAGCTGAAACATGGGTTCTCGAGACAGAAAAATTGTTTGAGGTTTTTCCGTGCTATGAAGCACATAAAGTTCTATTGGCCACCTTTACTCTGCAAGAAGAAGCTAGAAGGTGGTGGATGTTTATCCGTAATGATAATACTATTATGACTTGGGCTCAATTCAAAGGAGCCTTCTTTGAAAAGTACTTCCCCCAGTGTGTTAGGGACAGAAAAGTAGCTGAATTCGAACAGCTGAGACAGGGCACAATGTTCGTTGCTGAATATGAGACAAAATTTACTGAACTTTCCCGTTATGCACCACATATGGTTGACACTGACTATAAGAAGGCGAGAAAGTTTGAAGGCAGCCTTAATGTTGCAATACTCGACATAATAAATGTTCTGAAATTACTGAATTATGTAAATGTTCTTAACCGAGCCTTGATGGCTGAATCGAACATCGAGGCACTGAAAACTGAAACACCAGCGTCTGAATGGCGTGGTAAAAGGCAGGGTTTTAAATTCAAGAAAGGCAAGCATAACCCATTGAACAAGAAACAGAATACGGGGTCAACAACTAGCCCCAGCCAAGGGAGTGGTTTCATACCACCCTGTTCTGAGTGTGGCAGGAAGCACAAAGGGGTCTATTACAAAATATCTGGAGCCTGTTACAGGTGTGGCAAGGTGGGCCACATGGTTAAAGACTGCCCCTCTGCTCCACAAGCCAGTAGTAAAGCTGCACCAAGCGTGGCAGCATCAACTGTCGCACCAAAACCGAACCCCAAAGCTACTGGGAAAGAGCCCATGAGGTAGGGCCGAGTGTTCGCCTTAGTACCGGGAGACGTGCAGAATATCGAGACCGTTGTGTCAGGTATTCTCTCTATTTGTACTCAAAATGCTTATGTACTGATTGATTCGGGGTCTACGCATCCATATGTGTCGCATGCTTTTTCGCGAAAACTGAATAGACCATTAGAACCTATGAATTATCTATTAGCTGTATCATCACCCATTGGGGGATCTATGACCTGTGCGTATATGTACCCTGCTTGTGAAATTATTGTTGGAGATGCACATTTGTTTATTGACTTACTGCCTTTGAACATTGATCATTTTGATGTAATATTGGGAATGGACTGGTTAACGAAATACCATGCTACCATAGACTGTGTAACGAAACAAGTAGTTTTCCGTCCACGGGGTTTACTCGAATTTGTGTTTAATGGGGTTAGAGTAGTACCTCCTTCGTACTTGATTTCATCTGTGAAAGCTGTTAAATTGATTAGAAAGGGGTGTAAGGGATATCTGTGTTCTGTGTTAACTATATCTACTGATGATAATGCTAACGTGAACAGTATTCCTATAGTCAGAGAATTCCCAGATGTTTTTCCAGATAATTTGCCAGGGGATTTGACTGACAGGGAGATTGAATTTACCGTTGATGTGATTTCGGGAACGCAGCCAGTATCTAAAGCTCCTTACCGAATGGCTCCAACTGAACTGAAAGAATTGAAAGTGCAACTGCAAGAACTGCTAGATAAGAAGTTCATCAGGCCTAGCACTTCACCATGGGGCGCTCCTGTTTTATTTGTGAAGAAGAAAGACGGCTCACTGAGACTGTGTATTGACTACCGTGAACTGAACAAGGTAACTGTGAAAAATAAATACCCATTGCCACGTATTGATAACTTATTTGATCAGTTAACCAGCTGCATTTATGGACCTCATGAACAGAATCTTTAAACCATACCTTGATGACTTTATTGTAGTATTCATTGATGACATACTGATTTACTCCAAAAGTATAGAAGAACATGAACATCATCTGAGACTTGCCCTACAAACCTTAAGAGAACAGAAACTGTATGCTAAACTGTCTAAATGTGAATTTTGGCTTGATCATGTTATGTTTTTGGGGCATGTTGTTAGCAAAGATGGAATTTCCGTTGATCCACAGAAAATTGAAGCTGTAGTGAACTGGCCTAGACCAACAAATGTGACCGAAGTCCGAAGCTTTTTGGGTTTGGCTGGATATTACAGAAAATTTGTCAAAGATTTCTCCAAAATTGCCTTACCGTTGACCCAGTTAACTCAGAAGGGGATATCATTTGACTGGACTGGCCAAAAGGAATCAGCATTCCAAGAATTGAAAACTCGACTTGTGACTGCACCGGTTCTTACCCTACCTTCAGGTACGGATGGTTATACTGTATTTAGTGATGCTTCTCATAAGGGTTTAGGATGTGTTTTAATGCAGAATAGGAGAGTTATTGCCTATGCTTCCCGACAACTGAGACCGCACGAAAAGAACTACCCGACCCATGATCTGGAACTTGCTGCAGTAGTATTTGCACTGAAAATCTGGCGTCGCTATCTGTATGGGGCGACATGTGAAGTATATACCGACCACAAGAGTCTGAAATATTTCTTCACATAGAAAGAACTGAACATGAGACAACGGGATGGCTAGAACTGATTAAAGACTATGACCTACAGATTTTGTACCATTCGGGAAAAGCCAACACCGTTGCCGATGCACTGAGCCGAAAATCGATTGGAAATTTAGCCTGTTTGCTTACCGGGCAGAAAGAATTACTTTGTGACCTTGAAAGATTTGAAATTGAAATTGTTTTACGAGAACAAGGTGGAACAATAGTTGCTATTTCTGCTCAACCAGCACTGATTGAAGAGATTAAAGAGAAACAGCAACTGGATGACTTCTTGAAGAAGATCATCGAAGAAAGGGAAACTAGACCAAGACCGGGTTTCAAATTTGAAAATAATGTACTGAAATTTCAAGAAAGACTGTGTGTACCAAATAATTTTGAATTGAAAAGAAGAGTTCTGCAAGAGGGCCACATTCAAAATTTTCTATCCATCCAGGGAATACGAAAATGTACCAAGATCTGAAACTGAATTTCTGGTGGCCGGGAATGAAGAAAGAAATTGATGATTTTGTATCGAAATGTCCTCATTGCCAACAAGTCAAAGCCGAACATCAACGGCCCGCAGGCTTATTGCAGCCCTTACCCATACCGGAGTGGAAATGGGAACATATCACCATGGATTTTATTGTGGGATTGCCTCGTTCCAGTAAAGGTATGGACTCAATTTGGGTTATCATTGATAGACTGACTAAATCTGCTCATTTCTTATCTGTTAAGACAATTTATAATGCCGAAAAATTGGCTATACTCTATATTGATGAAATTGTTAGACTACATGGAGTGCCTGTGTCCATTGTTTCTGACAGGGATTCGAAGTTTACATCGAGATTTTGGCAAAGTTTACAGATTGCATTAGGTACTGAATTGAGACTGAGTAGTGCTTATCATCCTCAGACCGATGGCCAGTCAGAAAGGACCATCCAGACTCTGGAGGATTTACTGAGAATGTGTGTCCTTGATTTTTAGGGAAACTGGGAAAGTCATTTGCCCTTAGCTGAATTCGCCTACAACAACAGCTATCATTCAAGTATTGGTATGGCACCTTTCGAGGCATTGTATGGCAGAAAATGTAGATCTCCGATTTGCTGGGCAGAAGTTGGAGATGAGCCTTTGCTTGGGCCCGAGATTGTATACGAAACGACTGAGAAAGTGAAACTGATACAATAGAGACTGAAAACTGCACAGAGCAGACAGAAAAGTTATGCTGATGTCAGAAGACGGGATAGAGAATATGAAGTGGGTGATCATGTATTTGTGAAAGTGACACCGATGAAAGGCCAGACTCGTTTTGGAGTCAAGGGCAAGTTAGCGCCGAGATACGTCGGACCATATGAGATTATTGAGAAAATCAATCCGATGGCGTATCAAGTTGCGCTTCCTCTTGAAATGGAGCATATGCACAATGTCTTCCACATTTCTATGTTGAGGAACTACTTCTGGGATCCTTTCCATGTGATAGAGCCTACTCGTGTAGTGCTGAGTGATGACTACACTTACGAGGAACGGCCTATTCAGATTGTAAACAGACGGATCAAGAAGTTGAGAAACAAAGAGATCCCGTTAGTGAAAGTTGATTGGCAAAACCATGGTGGCGTATATGCCACTTGGGAGAGGGAAGATGACATGGCTAAAAGATATCCTGAACTTTTTCCACTGAATCCTGTTTTCTTCCAAAACGAAGGTAACTCGAGTTTAGAGGACTAAACTCTTTTTAAGGAGGGGAGACTGTAACAACCTTCGTCACTGTTTATCGATTAACCACTGATTATTGCTGAACTGAGACTGATTTTGACTGATAATTGAATTGATCGAAATACTGAACTGACTGACTGAAATCCGAAACTGATTGATTGACTGTATCTATTTAAATGCACTTTCTATCTGTTGATTGTTAATTGATCTGTTTATGTTTTTGTATTTAAACTGCAAATTGAAGGCCTTATCGGCGGCCGAATCTGAAATTGATTGATGATTTGTGTTCAGTAGAATTTATGTGATTTTATGGTATATTTATTTGAAAACTGATTTGGTATGATTAAATTAGATTAAAATGGGTTAAATTGCATTGTTGACTTAATTACAATTTTGCCATGGTGAGTGGCCACTATCTAAGACCGCCTTTGAGCCTCATTACACCTAGATCAAACATTTGCTCTGCTCATTTCCCTTGTTCTTGCCGACCAAGAGAGTTAGAGTGAGAGAAAGTGAGTTCCTCCTTGATAGTTGCTTGTAGACTTGGAGATTTTAGAAGATAATTGTGAATTTGAGCTCCTACACCTTATAATTCAAGACTTAGGTAAGGATTTCACCTTTTCATTGATGTATTTAAGATTGTTCTTGCATGGTTCTTGAGCCTCTAGAGAGCTAAGTCATGTCTTAGTCTAATAATGTTGAATTGGAGCTCATTCCATGCATGCATGTTTGAATTGTTGAGTTGTGAGTTGATTTCATGGTAAAATGTTATA